TGTATAATTTTGTCTAAATTTTTTTTTGGTTTTCTCAAATGCAATTGCCTGCGGGCGCCAACACTCCCCTTCAATTTTTTTTTTAGGAATTCGACTCTAGTTGAATTTTTTGAACAAACTTGATTATTGATAACGTGCAGGTGCCCTCTGTATTATCATTTTTTAATGAGGTAAACATTGGCAATATTGTTTTCTCTGTTTTGGATTCTGGACATTTTAGTTTGAACTTTTTAATGTGTTTTCCTACTGTATAATTTTGTCTAAATTTATTTTTGGTTTACTCAAATGCATTTGCCTGCGGGCGCCAACACTCCCCTTCAATTTTTTTTCTTGGAATTTGACTCTAGTTGAATTTTTTGTATAGACTTGAATATTGTTAAGAAGCAGGTGCAGTCTGTATTATCATTCTTTAAAGAGCTAATCATTGGCAATATTGTTTTTTCTGTTTTGGATTCTGGACATTTTAGTTTGAACTCTTTACAGTGTTTTCCTACTGTATAATTTTGTCTAAATTTTTTTTTGGTTTTCTAAAATGAAATTGCCTGCGGGCGACAACACACCCCTTCAATTTTTTTTTTAGGAATTCGACTCTAGTTGAATTTTTTGAACAAACTTGATTATTGATTACGGCAGGTGCCCTCTGTATTATCATTTTTTAATGAGGTAAACATTGGCAATATTGTTTTCTCTGTTTTGGATTCTGGACATTTTAGTTTGAACTTTTTAATGTGTTTTCCTACTGTATAATTTTGTCTAAATTTATTTTTGGTTTACTCAAATGCATTTGCCTGCGGGCGCCAACACCCCCCTTCAATTTTTTTTCCCGGAATTTGACTCTAGTTGAATTTTTTGTATAGACTTGAATATTGTTAAGAAGCAGGTGCAGTCTGTATTATCATTCTTTAATGAGCTAATCATTGGCAATATTGTTTTTTCTGTTTTGGATTCTGGACATTTTAGTTTGAACTCTTTACAGTGTTTTCCTACTGTATAATTTTGTCTAAATTTTTTTTTGGTTTTCTAAAATGAAATTGCCTGCGGGCGACAACACTCCCCTTCATTTTTTTTTAGGAATTTGAATCTAGTTGAATTTTTTGAACAAACTTGATTATTGATTACCTGCAGGTGCCCTCTGTACTATCAATCTTTAATGAGGTAAACATTGGCAATATTGTTTTTTCTGTTTTGGATTCTGGACATTTTAGTTTGAACTCTTTAATGTGTTTTCCTACAGTAAATTTTGTCTAAATTTTTTTTTGGTTTTTAAAATGCAATTGCCTGCGGGCGCCAACACTCCCCTTCAATTTTTTTTTAGGAATTCGACTCTAGTTGAATTTTTTGTATAGACTTGAATATTGTTAAGAAGCAGGTGCAGTCTGTATTATCATTCTTTAACGAGCTAATCATTGGCAATATTGTTTTTTCTGTTTTGGATTCTGGACATTTTAGTTTGAACTCTTTACAGTGTTTTCCTACAGTATAATTTTGTCTAAATTTTTTTTTGGTTTTCTCAAATGCAATTGCCTGCGGGCTCCAACACTCCCCTTCAATTTTTTTTTTAGGAATTCGACTCTAGTTGAATTTTTTGAACAAACTTGATTATTGATTACGGCAGGTGCCCTCTGTATTATCATTTTTTAATGAGGTAAACATTGGCAATATTGTTTTTTCTGTTTTGGATTCTGGACATTTTAGTTTGAATATTTTAATGTGTTTTCCTACTGTATAATTTTGTCAAAATTTTTTTTTGGTTTTCTCAAATGCAATTGCTTGCGGGCGCCAACACTCCCCTTCAATTTTTTTTTTTGGAATTTGACTCTAGTTGAATTTTTTGTGTAGACTTGAATATTGTTAAGAAGCAGGTGCAGTCTGTATTATCAATCTTTAATGAGGTAAACATTGGCAATATTGTTTTTTCTGTTTTGGATTCTGGACATTTTAGTTTGAACTCTTTAATGTGTTTTCCTACTGTATAATTTTGTCAAAATTTTTTTTTGGTTTTCTAAAATGCAATTGCCTGCGGGCGCCAACACTCCCCTTCAATTTTTTTTTTAGGAATTCGACTCTAGTTGAATTTTTTGAACAAACTTGATTATTGATTACGGCAGGTGCCCTCTGTATTATCATTTTTTAATGAGGTAAACATTGGCAATATTGTTTTCTCTGTTTTGGATTCTGGACATTTTAGTTTGAATATTTTAATGTGTTTTCCTACTGTATAATTTTGTCTAAATTTTTAATTGGTTTTCTAAAATGCAATTGCCTGCGGGCGCCAACACTCCCCTTCATTTTTTTTTTAGGAATTCGACTCTAGTTGAATTTTTTGAACAAACTTGATTATTGATTACGGCAGGTGCCCTCTGTATTATCATTTTTTAATGAGGTAAACATTGGCAATATTGTTTTTTCTGTTTTGGATTCTGGACATTTTAGTTTGAACTCATTAATGTGTTTTCCTACTGTATAATTTTGTCAAAATTTTTTTTTGGTTTTCTCAAATGCAATTGCTTGCAGGCGCCAACACTCCCCTTCAATTTTTTTTTTTGGAATTTGACTCTAGTTGAATTTTTTGTGTAGACTTGAATATTGTTAAGAAGCAGGTGCAGTCTGTATTATCAATCATTAATGAGGTAAACATTGGCAATATTGTTTTTTCTGTTTTGGATTCTGGACATTTTAGTTTGAACTCTTTAATGTGTTTTCCTACTGTAAAATTTTGTCTAAATTTTTTTTTGGTTTTCTAAAATGCAATTGCCTGCGGGCGCCAACACTCCCCTTCAATTTTTTTTTAGGAATTCGACTCTAGTTGAATTTTTTGTATAGACTTGAATATTGTTAAGAAGCAGGTGCAGTCTGTATTATCATTCTTTAACGAGCTAATCATTGGCAATATTGTTTTCTCTGTTTTGGATTCTGGACATTTTAGTTTGAATATTTTAATGTGTTTTCCTACTGTATAATTTTGTCTCAATTTTTAATTGGTTTTCTAAAGTGCAATTGCCTGCGGGCGCCAACATTCCCCTTCATTTTTTTTTTAGGAATTCGACTCTAGTTGAATTTTTTGAACAAACTTGATTATTGATTACGGCAGGTGCCCTCTGTATTATCATTTTTTAATGAGGTAAACATTGGCAATATTGTTTTTTCTGTTTTGGATTCTGGACATTTTAGTTTGAACTCATTAATGTGTTTTCCTACTGTATAATTTTGTCAAAATTTTTTTTTGGTTTTCTCAAATGCAATTGCTTGCGGGCGCCAACACTCCCCTTCAATTTTTTTTTTTGGAATTTGACTCTAGTTGAATTTTTTGTGTAGACTTGAATATTGTTAAGAAGCAGGTGCAGTCTGTATTATCAATCTTTAATGAGGTAAACATTGGCAATATTGTTTTTTCTGTTTTGGATTCTGGACATTTTAGTTTGAACTCTTTAATGTGTTTTCCTACTGTAAAATTTTGTCTAAATTTTTTTTTGGTTTTCTAAAATGCAATTGCCTGCGGGCGCCAACACTCCTCTTCAATTTTTTTTTTAGGAATTCGACTATAGTTGAATTTTTTGTATAGACTTGAATATCGTTAAGAAGCAGGTGCAGTCTGTATTATCATTCTTTAACGAGCTAATCATTGGCAATATTGTTTTTTCTGTTTTGGATTCTGGACATTTTAGTTTGAACTCTTTACAGTGTTTTCCTACAGTATAATTTTGTCTAATTTTTTTTTTGGTTTTCTCAAATGCAATTGCCTGCGGGCGCCAACACTCCCCTTCAATTTTTTTTTTAGGAATTCGACTCTAGTTGAATTTTTTGAACAAACTTGATTATTGATTACGGCAGGTGCCCTCTGTATTATCATTTTTTAATGAGGTAAACATTGGCAATATTGTTTTTTCTGTTTTGGATTCTGGACATTTTAGTTTGAACTCATTAATGTGTTTTCCTACTGTATAATTTTGTCAAAATTTTTTTTTGGTTTTCTCAAATGCAATTGCTTGCGGGCGCCAACACTCCCCTTCAATTTTTTTTTTTTGGAATTTGACTCTAGTTGAATTTTTTATGTAGACTTGAATATTGTTAAGAAGCAGGTGCAGTCTGTATTATCATTCTTTAAGGGGATTGGAAGCGGCGATTTTCTGTCTTTATCTAACACACGTGGAACATAGGATTATAGACGTGTTCTATGTCCAACGTACCGATTAATCTAATGAAGCGATAAGAATTCTGAAAACAGATTTGAATTTGTCGTCAAGTCTACTTGAGATCGACTTTCCCACATTTTTGATTTTTTGATTTAAACTTCTCCAAAAGTTGAAATTTGTAAATTTTTTAAGTACTTTTTATAATATATCATTTTTATGATTTTGGTGGGACAATATCAAAAATGTGGGAAAGTCGATCTCAAGTAGACTTGACGACAAATTCAAATCTGTTTTCAGAATTCTTATCGCTTCATTAGATTAATCGGTACGTTGGACATAGAACACGTCTATAATCCTATGTTCAACGTGTGTTAGATAAAGACAGAAAATTGCCGCTTCCAATCCCCTTAACGAGCTAATCATTGGCAATATTGTTTTTTCTGTTTTGGATTCTGGACGTTTTAGTTTGAACTCTTTAATGTGTTTTCCTACTGTATAATTTTGTCTAAATTTTTTTTTGGTTTTCTCAAATGCAATTGCCTGCGGGCGCCAACACTCCCCTTCAATTTTTTTTTTAGGAATTCGACTCTAGTTGAATTTTTTGAACAAACTTGATTATTGATTACGGCAGGTGCCCTCTGTATTATCATTTTTTAATGAGGTAAACATTGGCAATATTGTTTTTTCTGTTTTGGATTCTGGACATTTTAGTTTGAACTCTTTAATGTGTTTTCCTACTGTATAATTTTGTCTAAATTTTTTTTTGGTTTTCTAAAATGCGTTTGCCTGCGGGCGCCAACACTCCCCTTCAATTTTTTTTCTTGGAATTTGACTCTAGTTGAATTTATTGTATAGACTTGAATATTGTTAAAAAGCAGGTGCCTGAATCTGGGTGATTGACCAGCACGGATAACCGTTTTGACGCGCCACAAAGTCGGTACCGCAGTCAGAAAAGATTTCCTGAGGCAGACCACGACGAGCTGCAAACCTATCGAACGCCGCTAAAAATGCGTCAGTAGATAGTTCAAGAACGAGTTCCAGATGGACGGCTTTGGTGGCCATGCATATGAAGACGGAAATGTACACCTTGTACTCTCTAGGCTTTCGCAGGCGGCATTCTCTCATTGGAAGGGGGCCAGCATAGTCGATTCCTACTTTGGTGATAGGCTGGCATACCTGAACGCGGGCTGCAGGCAAATCTGCCATCAAAGGTTGCGGAGATTGAGCGATAGCTTGAACACAGGTGGTGCATGACCCAATAGTCTGACGAATGACAACACGAACTGACATTATCCAAAAATTACGGGTTATCAAAGCGGTTATAACCCTCGGTCCAGAATGACACGTAACTAAATGCCAGTGTCGAACGATCAGCTTAGCTAAGTGTGACGTCTTATGTAACAGCATGGGCTGCTTCTGAGGAGTTGGTAGATCAGCGTGATGTAGTCTACCGCCAATGCGGATCAGTCCGTTGGAGTCAATGAATGGGCGGAGACGAGCTTATGAGCTTGATGGAATTCGGTCCGCATCCAGGGTGATGAACAATTCAGACAACAACAGACGCTGAGATGCTCGGACAATACTGACAAGTGACTCCTGAAGCTCAGATGCCTGCAAGAAGGCAAGTGGGTACTCCTTACGCTTACAGCGGAAAATGAAGCGGCGTACCCACGATATGACATGAAGCATGCGGTTATACGAAGAGAATCGACAAATCCATTCAGATGGTTCACCGACAGTTACGGTAAGGGATATGATCTTCGTTTCCGGTAATTGTTCCACTGGAATGGGAGTTGGAGACGTGTCCCAAGTATCGACAGCAGCAGATAAAAACTTCGGGCCACACCAGTACAACGAATGGCTAATCAACTCAGAGGGTAGCATTCCCCTGGAGGCGCAATCCGCAGGATTGATATCGGACCGGACATATCCCCATTGGCAGTGTGGTAGAAGTGCATGTATTTGATTCACACGATTGGAGACAAACACCTTGAACATAGAGTGAGGTTTGACCAACCAAGACAACACTATTTGTGAATCAGACCAGGCAAAGGTAGAATCTACGTTCAGTTTATCCTTTAATATCTTCAGAAGACGATACATCCACCGAGCAAGTAGGACAGCGGCACATAACTCGAGTCTAGGCACAGTGGAAGTCTTTATAGGAGCCATTTTTGTTTTGGATCCAAGTAGCGAGATGGAGACTGAGTGATCATGTGTGATCGTGCGCATATATACTACTGCCGCGTATCCTTTTTCTGACGCATCGCAGAAACCACACAGCTGAACACGTGACTGCATTTGCGTAGAAAGGAAACGAGGTACGTGAACACTTGATAGTGACGGAAGACTATCGACGAAGACGGACCAGAAACTGAGTAAATCTGGTGGTAGAGGGTCGTCCCAGGATACATTCGTCTTCCAGATCATTTGCATTATGTGCTTAGCATAAAATATGACCGGAGCAAGAAATCCGATAGGGTCATAGATTCTTGCGATGGTGGACAGAACGGTACGTTTCGTTGGAGTGTGGGATGACGGGCATACGTTGAACCCGAACACGTCCATTGAGGGATTCCATTGAAGACCCAAAACTTTTGTCACACCACCTTCTTTATCCTCGAAATTAATGACGTCAGAAGCACGGTCATCCAAAGGCACGGCTGACAAGATGGATGGCACATTACTTGACCATTTTTTGAGGTCCAGCCCAGCGCGGCCCAAGACAAGTTGCAGATCGGATTGCAGCTTGAGAAGTTCATTGGTAGTATCAGCTCCAACGCATACGTCATCGACATATGTCTGATGCAACAACGCATCTTTAACCGTCGGGAAGTCAGTGCCCTCTTGGTCTGCTATGTCTTGGAGCACTCTTAGGGCCAGGTAGGGGGCACAATTCACGCCATAGGTGACCGTGTTAAGCTGATATTCCCTCAGTTCATCCGTTGGTGACGCCCGCCAAACTATGTGTTGAAATGACCGGTATTGCTGATGTACCAAAATCTGACGGTACATTTTACACACGTCAGCCGTGAATGTGAACTTGTGTACCCGGAACCGTCGGAGGATGTCGACGATGTCTTGTTGCAATTTAGGACCAGTATGCAGACATTGGTTTAACGAAAGCTTGTTCGATGCCGTTGCAGATGCGTCGAAGACAACTCGTATCTTGCCCGATGTTAGCGAGCCCTTAAACACCAGGTGATGTGGTATGAAATATGAACCTGGGTTAGGGGCAACAGACATATGTCCCAACGATTCATATTCATGCATAAACTGCCTGTATGCTTGGCCTAAGGTGACATTGTCTTGGAGCTTCTTTTCCAAATTCTGGAAGCGGCGTACAGCTATTTGTTTGGAACCGGGAAACGTCTCGGCCCGATGGTCGTTGAGAAATGGCAGTGGAACGACAAATCGTCCCGTAGGGTCACGTGTCCGTTCTGACACGTAAATACTTTCACATTGACTGTCCTTGGTAAATGTGTCTGGAACTGTGTCCGGCTCCTCCACTTGCCAAAACCGTTGGATTATGGTCTCTAACGAGATAGTAAGTGACACGACATTAGATTGGAAGGATTGAGATACAGAGCCTTGAACAGGGCCGATGATGATCCAGCCAAACAAGGATCCAAAAGCAACGGGCAACGAATCATTGACGACAATGCGTTTACCGTCCATAATCTGAGAATATACATCAGCTCCTAGGAGTAAATCTATAGGATCGGAACGATCAAATCCTGGATCTGCAAGCGCTAAGTGACTGAAGTGCTGTCTAACTTGAGGCGCGAGGTGATAGATGGGCATGTTACCGGTGATTTTCGGAAGGATCCAAGCACTGACGTGGATACGGTGGTCGTCATATCGAGGAGCAATTATGCACTTGACTAAACCGTCGACGTTGGAAACGGCAACACCGGATACACCTGTGAGAGGTGCGGTCCACTTCACTCGCCGTAAGCCCAGCCGTTCGACACATGACGTTGACATGACGCTTATCTGTGATCCGGAATCAATAAGAGCACGTATCTGCTGCATACAACCGGCATGATCTCGGACGTGCAGCAAAGCAGTACCCAATAGTACTGTAGACGTATCCCGAGCGCTGACCACTGACACCTGGGGCGGCAAGGGTTTCTCGATTTTCTGAAAATCCCTGTGAAGGAGAGTATGGTGACGGCCAGAGCACTTGTCACACGGCTTGGTTACCTTGCAACGGTTTGACCAGTGCGTTGAATTTAAACAACGAAAACACACCCTCTTGTCACGGGCGGTCTGGTAACGGGCGTCCATTGACAAACTTTCAAAATTTGGACATTGGACTGTCGGATGCTCTTTAGAACAAAACAAGCATTTTAAGGTCGGAGCATTCGGCAGCTTTGAAGTATGCAGGGTTACCTTGGACAGTTTTTCATCTTGACGACGTGGAGAGGATTTAGGTCGTTCTGGTTGTGTTGGTGGACGATGTGAAGTGCTTGTGAAGTTGACAGCTTCCAAAATAGACACACGATTTTTGACATAAGTTACAACATCAGCTGCCGTAGGTAATTCGTTCCTATTGACAGCCTCGAATCCTTTACGGGTAGACAGAGGCAGACATCGTGCGGAAAGCGAGAACAATAAAAACTCACCTAGATCAGGGATGTTCAAAGATTCAAGTGTCGAAACCTGGTCAGAGAACACTGTTAAGAAATCCTTTAACCCGACTAACGATTCCTGAGACTGAGCTGGTATAGATATTAATTTATCGACGATTAAGGAGGCCAGCTGACGAGGTTTATCAAAACGTTATACAAGTGTGGTCCACGCTAGATCATATGTAGCATCAGATACAACAATATTGCGAATGCTATGAAGAGCCTAGCACAGCGGTTCCCAAACTGTGCGCCGCGGCGCCCTGGTGCGCCGCGATGTCTTTTTAGGGGCGCCGCGTTGCCGTAGAAATTTACCTAGTCTAAAAATAAATTTTAACTCGATAACGGCGGCGAGGATAAATTTTCTTGGATTCAAGATCCATTCAACTCCACTGCTCCATCTGAGTTTACTTCTACCGAAGAAGAGAGTCTTATCGAGTTGTCTTGCGACAATAGTTTGAAGACTAAATTTAGCAGTATGGATTTAACCAAATTTTGGATTTCTATAAAAGATGAATATCCTCTTTTAAGTGATAAGGCTCAACGTATTTTAATTCCGTTTTCGACATCATATTTGTGTGAAGCTGGGTTTTCGGCGGTTGCTGTAATAAAAAGCAAGTATCGAACCAAAATCAATGTTGAAAAAGAAATGAGAGTAGCTGTGTCTTGTTTAATTCCAAGATTTGAAAAAATGTGCAGTGATATGCAAGCACATCCATCACATTAATTTTATACCTATCTATTTCGACCTCTAAATATAAATGTAAATCTTCAAAAATAATTAAAATGTGTAAAAAGTATATAACTAAAATTAAATAAATATTCTTGTATTATTATTAAAAAATGGTCTGGTTTTTATTTGTTTTTTATTCATTTTTTATGATTAGTCATGCTATGTCTTGGGAAGGGCGCCTTGAGAAAAGTTTAGTTCAAAAAGGGCGCCGTGAGCGAAAAAAGTTTGGGAACCGCTGGCCTAGCAGATAATAAAAAAGGTCAATGTTAGACAGGTCAGTGCGTTCGACTACGCGCGCATTGAAACGATCTCGAAAAACAGGCCAATCTAAAAGGTCACCGCTAAACGTGGGCAATGGTATTTCTGGCAAACGCGGTCTACCTGAACAATTGTTACCATCGGACCGATTAGAACGTGTAGATTCTACCTGACTAACGTTATCATCACACATCTGCGTTGGTCTTAGTGTTTCTGCCACAGCGATTGCTTGTATGTATAGGGAGCGAACTTCAGTTTCCTTTGTCAGCGAGAATTCAACAGACAAACCCAGGTCCAACAGAGCATAAAGAACCGCTTGATTATCGGCCACAAACCTTTCCCACAACGAATCTAAATCCCCCACAGCAGTTAAAAATGCATTACGTAAATCTGGATTAGTGGTAACTTGTTTGGATAGCTCGTGTATGGCCTGGATACGGTTAACAGTAGCGTCACGGAATATGATGGCAATCGTTTTCGTTCTTTGTAACACCCTAAGCTGCCTAGCGTATCATCCTCCGATCCACCACCCGTCATTGTACGTTAGTCAATAACGTCAACAACCAAAACCCACAGCGTGTCAGACCAAAGACAAAATGTATAACGTTATAAACAAACCAGATTGACACAATTAATTATCAAGCAAGATAACTGGCTAAATAGGTATATACGATAGGTCGCTACAGGAAAACACAGTATAACATTAATTAAGACATAAATTACGGGAACAGCTATAACCCAACTACCAGTCACTCATAGTAACTAACAACGCTCAAGAAATTAAT